ATATGGCATTGTGAAATTAAATCTCAATATTTTAGTCTATCAATATTTTTTACACTTACAGTTAACCAAACAACAGGCATTGTTTGGTAAAGAAACATTTTTTTTCCAAAATATCTACCTCAAATTCAAGGACTTTCATAACTATAAAAAAAATGAAATAAAATTTGAAGCACCAACATTTGGACTTTTTCAATTGTCTAAGGCTTTCACCTGAGACCCGACAACGGCAAAACACACACCTCTTGGATGGTTTCCATTGGTGGTGGGGGGTCCTTGTGGCGGCACAGATTGACCATGACCCAGGTGACATTGCGAAGGAAGGTGATGGGGATGGAAGGACTGATAAAAGAGAGCAGGGGTTTGACCACACCCAGGCTGATCACATAGTCTCTGCACTGAGGGCCGTCACCTGGATGATACACCAACACACAGTTGTGGGCTCAGTGTTCTGGGACAGACAGTATATTGATGTCACTGGTCCACGTAGACAATGACTCACCTATGATGTTGCCCAGAGCCCAAACGGCCTGTTCACACACATTCTGATGAGGAGAGTGAAGCAGTCTCAGAAAAAGTGGTACAGCATCTGTTCAGGAGGAAAAAAGAAATCCAACCTTAGTCTGAGACAAGTGCTGATCGACCGTGCTGCTCCGACAGGTTCATCATCTCTACTCTACTAAGTTTGAGTTACAATATTTGAACACACACAGTTTAACTGCCTCTCATCTTAGTTGGTCAGCTTGTTAAAAAAAAGTGGATGAGGATTAACAAAAACAGCAAAAAGATGACACTTACTGGACTGGACCACGGCCTGAGTCTGCTCTGAGGTTCCGGATGCAATATTGGTAAGAGCCCAGGCCGCCTCAAACTGCAGAGATGGGCTACAGTGATGAGAAGAGGTTTGAGGGTTAATCAAAGTGTAAAGGACACCGAAACAGTAAGAACTCAGAGGCCATGATATTATCAATTGCAGATAATATATCAACTGATGGTTATTGATTTTGTCAATTATTAGGACCTGAAAAATTATTTTTGTAAGCATTAGCCGTGGGGTTATTAGTTTGAGTTGGAAAAAATATATCATTATGACTATGACATTATGAACTTTTGCAACATTCCAACATTCCTGACACTCCATAACAGAAAAGCTTCACATCGACTTTCTAAAACACCAACAGCAGAATGCAGTGCATGCCTTCAGAGGGGGTGGAAGTGTACAGGCACTATCTGGGACAAAAGACAATAAAAAGTACAAATGCTGAGTGAAATGTGTCAAATTATTTCCAATGATCGATTCAAATCAAACTCTACATTCGATAAACTGCCCAGCCTCTACCTGACATGGAGCTAAAGTTGTACCACACTAGGGGTGTAAGAAAATCTATCTATATCTATAATAAATATCTATATTTATCTGTATCTCTATCCATAATAAAACAAACCTAATGCAAACGCAATAACAGACTGCTTACTTGTCATCTCTGTCCAAGCAGTGGACCAGTATAGGCAGGATCCCAGATTTAATCAGGTCGTCTATGGGTGGGTTACGGTCACTGGACAACAACTTCCTACAAACACAGAAAATAGAAGAATGCACTGTTTAGTTTATCTTACACACACACAGAGAGATACTCAAAAAAGAAGAAAAGAGTAATGAGTCAAATGTCCATACAATGATCGTCACACAATACTCAACAAACAGTAAGAAAACACTGGTCAAATACAATGTGACTGTTTAAATTACCTTAAACCAGGTCTGCCAACAACTTAATAAATTTTAATATTAAGAATAAATGTGGATCAACCCCATTCCCATTATTTAATGAGATAGTTATGACTTTAAGCAGATTAATTTGACCTGATGTACATTTAAACACATTTTCAAAATTACCTAATTTAGAAAAAGAAAATTGAAAAAACTAACAGAAATTCACAAATGTATTTAAATTATTATTATTATTATAATACTTAAAAAATGAACAATATAATTTATGTTCACCATAAATTATATTGTTCACCACTGGGAGCAGCATTTCAAATAAACCAGAATCAAATTAAACATAAATAAGTGGGAACCAAAATCCAGTGTAAAACACAGAAATTATGTAAATTAATCTTTAGTAATTTACAAATGTAGCTTCGTATCCTAGCTGGACATTACTCCTGATATGAGCTGTTGATAAGATGGGGGCATCGAGCATTTAAGTGCTCTTTTGCTACACAATATTTGGCTTAATTTCTTAACATAAACAACAACCAAAAGAACAGAGGAAATAAACCTCATTCTTGGTGCAACATTTCTTAACAAAAACAATCATATTCACAAAGCCAAATTTAAACATTTATTGTTTCCAAGTATGCACTGCCCCTGATGTTGTTCTGCAGAATAATCCGGACCATACTGTACATGTCCTTGTTTTGTTGACAAGCCTAAACATGCTTTTGTGTAAAAAGTTAAAAACTTCTCTTCTTAAGGTTTATTTAAAAAAAAAAAAACAGATAAAAACATTTGTGTTAAATGTGAGTTAACTACTGATAATCATGTGATTCGTTGCAATTCAATTTAATCAATTGACAGCCCCTCTCCAAAGATATACTGTAAATGAACTGTACTCTGCAGAGCTGCACCACTGAGCTACTGTGCCATTTACAACATCAATGAATCACACAGTAAATCACTACCGTAAAAACATTAAGCCCCAGGATCATCAACAGTGAAGGTGTTTTGTAAGAGGCCATCAATTTTAATCAGAAGACCTCTTGAGAAAAGTGCTGGTGAAGTGGTGCAGAGCCAACAGTCCATCCACTGCTAAAAGGGTTCAAAATTCCAAGAAAATGTGAGTGAAATCTGTAGTTGTTGACTACTATTATCAAACGTGTTGACTTTTACAGATGTCTGCATGACTGTTATCAACTCTCCACAAAATCAGATATGAGTGTGACAGAGACTGAACCTACCTTGCAGCCTGGACTGCACTCAGCTGCACGCCCTGGTTATCACTTGTAGCATTCTGCAATACAACAGCTCACATTAGACAACGTGACGCGTACAATAATAATTCAAATGTAAGTGAAAAGAACACAAGTTTGACAGAATAAATAAAAATACTACTCACTTGTACTATTGCTTCAAGAGAGGTGTTTTGCTGAAAGACAAAAGTAAATGATCAGACTGGAGTTACAGTCTAACACAGTTAATTAAAGACAGTAAAGTGAAAATCATCTGATGTCGACTTGTAGTTTGTTGACATCAAGCTGTGACAAACACTCAAAGCCATGACTTGCAATCTGGTGCAAAGCTTTTTGGTGTTGTGGTGCCACCGTCAGCAGGCTGGACGTGTTCTCAGCATGATAAAGTGCCAACTGGCAACTTTTGCTGATGCCCACTCTCATAGGCACATAGCCACAGAGTCGACAGTTTTAGGAGCAGACCCTCAGACGACAAAGTAGAGCTGTGTATTGTCTGAACCTAGATTTAATACGTATCACGAAATATAGTAAACACACAATGGTGTTCCGTGCTTAACATCAGGTTACTAAAGTTGGAACAGAGGAATCTACATTTTTAATCACTAGATAAGAAAGAAAAGCAAAATAAAATGAACCAACACTACGAATATTTGCATATTTGGTCATCAAAATATATATATAAAAATATATATAATATATATAAAGTGCTTATTGTGCTTACACACTGCAGTAATGGTTTGAGAAAAGCACTGAGTTTACAAATATGAAACCAGGACAAAAACAGCACTTTTAATAACTCCAAACACTAAAATGTGTGATGGCAGCAGATTCACACTTAACATTAGAGGAGAATTTGGGAATTTAAAAATAACTCAAAGCTCTGTCAGAAAGACGACTGAAATTAGAAAAATAAAAGCGGGGCGACAGCTTGTATTTAAAGAACATTTGATCCAATTGACAACAGGCCTGTAATCTGAGGTTTACTCACAACAGATTAAAAACAAATTAATTTTTTTAAAGCCTTTTCCTTATGACGTTGATAAGCTGATCTTTTCAAGCATGACACTGGGCAGTGATGAGCCTGAAGTTTGACACTGCTATTTAACCATTTTACCTTGTTGTCCTTCAAACTCTGAGCGTTAACTGTTCAGACCAAGTCACAAGCAAAACAGGATCTTAATTCTGCATTTTTTTTGCGCTATACCTGTGACATGTGCGATGACAGCAAAGCCGAAAATAATCTTTTTCCCCTTTCCCCAGCTCTGCCAGGAACTGGATTTGAACCCACAGTCCTCAAATTAAAGCCCTTTAATCCCACTCCTTAACTCCTCCTGTGTGGCAATATAACTTTTTGCTTTGACTCTTTCTGGATAAAATTTTACTCCAAAATTCTTCTTTAAATTATATTTGTGTATTTCACCCAAACAGAGACATTTGTACAATAAATAATTTGTTCCTTTTTTCAAAATCAGACAGTGTGAAAATGACAATAAGCACGAGTACTTAATGACTCATGTCTCATTTATAGAAATGCTCAACCGAGAACACTTGTGAGTACACTGCAGTATTTACGCAGGGAAAACTGTCCAAGGAAACAGGAAAAGTGACAAACAGCCACTCCTAAATGGACCAACAGTGTCTGGTCACACTAACAGCTCCATCTGGAGAAAGTAGGAAGAGCAACAGAAGCTGCAGCACATGGATAAACATGTCACATGTCCTGTTATTGAGCGGTGTTTAGTCAGTGGGACTACTCTAATTCAGAAACATCTCTTGATCAATCACTGAGGACAGACTAAAAACTGGGAATACTGCTGCTGCCTCAGTAGAACATCAGTGCTGGAAGAAGACATAACCATCTATACTAAAAGTTCGACATTCCTTCTTGCAATGAAATTTAACTAGGACAAGTACTTTAACGCCCCAACTTTGAAAGATATTTGTATAACAAAAATCCATTATGTCTTTCCCAGTTCCATCTCTGAACACTGATGCACATATTGTAGCACAGGAGTAATTGGTGATGGACCACAACGTAATATTAGGGGCTTCTGGGGCATCACTCTTTTTTTAAATTTCAGATGTCAGCATGAATAAAGGGAGGATTTTAGTTTTCTTTTCAATGCAGCACTTCAAGTCCAAAATATCACTTCAATGTAAGACATGTTGATGTAAACACCAGCCAACAGAGCCAAGACATGTGACCCAGACACAGTCATCCTGACTCTGTTTTGTGTTTGTTGAAGGGACTTTACCGTTCTGAAATCTCCATCGACATCAAAGTCTCCACAGATGTCTTCATGAGGAACATTTCTCCTCTTCAGAAGATGTTCATCTCTTTTGTTCTGTAATGTAACAAAGAAAAACATCACCAAATGCATTTTGCAGGTTTGCACACAAAAGCTGAATAACAGCAGTGTTGTGGAGAAAAGTTTAAAAAGGTTTATATAGGATATTTTAGTAACATTTTGAAACATTAAAAACTGTGATTACCTTTCTGAGTTCCACCACTACTTCAGTCCTCTGTCTTCTCATAGTCTGCAGGAGACAGAATGGTGCATTAGTATCACAATTCAAAAACACTGACCAGTCCTGGTCATACCTGTAGTATAAGTCCACCAGTCTGTCACCAGTCACAAAAGGCCAAATATTACTGCGAGGCAAATGTAAAAATAAATCTTTATTGTAAACTCAAGTTATCTTGTAAATGGAAGTTTAATTGTTAATATTCATTTAATGATTTTTGTTGCGTCTCCTTTTCTTTGTCTGTCTGCATTTAAAGCAACTGCTAATAGAAACAACATGAAATCATACAAAATGAATGAAAATGAAAGGCAACAATTCAAAGAAAACAGCAGTGCAGATGAAACAGAAGCAGCGGTGAGATGAAGAAATAAAAAGTTATATTATTTATCAGAGGAGACTGTTAGAATTGAAATGTGATTGTCATTTAACCAACATTTTTTCATTTAAACTGGAGATAAAGGTTTTAATTTGGGAAATGTGAATAACTCCTTGCCACACACTCAGTGTGCCCCATCTTCAACACCACTGACTCAGACTGGTCTGTTCCAAGCTGTTTTCAATATCCAACATCTAGAGAATGCTGGTGAGGTTCCAAAACTAAATATATAACTTTTTGGACGAGCTAGCATGATTATATAATGTAGACTATAGTTAAAGATAAGTAAATGATTTATTTGGTGAAAATTCTGGAGGTGGTAAGACCAGGTTTCTTTAAAGAACTGTTAACTTGGTACTGACAATAACAAAAGAACTTCCAGAGCATCTTACAGGCTGTGTAATGATTACAAAGCTGTTGTTACATAGAGCTTTTTAGTGGAGGGTGAAACAAATAAATACTTGTTTTCTACAGCAAGTGATTCATGTGGATGTTAAAGTTGGAATAATTCGAGAGCATCATGTAAAAAAAGTGCTTCATATATAAACCATTTAACCATTATGCAATTTGTCTAACAAGGATCTACTGCCAAAGAGTTTAGACCTGTCCTACCTCTGTAGGCTGTTGGTTACATAAGAGGCAGAGCCCAAATGTGACATACAGTATCTTGCTGCAGGTGTTAGCAGCGTATGTGTTATGTTCAACAGCTCTGGTTGTCTGAACTGAAGATGTTTTAGTTTGTTTTCAACTGGTAAAGCGTTTGAGTAATGAGCTGGCTCGTTTCCCAGTCACTGACAGTGACAGCTTTCAAACCTTTGGCAAAATCAGTTATTACGAAACCCAAGCAGAGACGGACAGTGTGAACTTTGTTGGCTTGGTTGCCTATTGTATAGCTTGTTGGGTGTATCTAGACAACATTATTAAATTTTCATTAAGAATTAAATGGCATTTCTCGGGGATCGTGATATTTGATCCACCCTGTCGGAAGGTTAAAGGTCATCTCGACCAGGGAAACAGTTTTAACAACATGTCCAAATTGTCCAGCCAATATTCCGACATTAGGATGCCATTCGTGTGCAGTATTAATACGGAAACTTTGTGTTCACCAGAGCTCCACAGACACGTGAAGGGAGCATTTATGTTAACCCGCTGCCTGATTCTGATAACCCCGATTTCTGGGTTATCTTATACTGTGACTTCAATACAATAATAATAATAGACATAGAACGACTGAAGGGGCCCAGGTAACTAGCCGGCGACGAGGCTGACTGGTTTCCGCCATTGTTTTTGACGATAAAGACGGGGGATGGGTGAACTGCAGCCACCAGCACCACCGTGACTAGCATTAGCATGCTAACTAGCTGCACTGCCACTAGCACGCTAATCCACCGTTGCACATCTCATCAATTTCAACAAAAATGGCGACGAATATCAGTTATGTGTATTATTGAATACAAACGTAACATTTAATGCAGTGGACGCATCGAACTAAACCGTTCTCGTTCTTCATCGAGGGCAGTGCGTCCCCCTAGGCCTGCTTAGCAGCCAGTGGAACTCTGAATCTTCCGTGACATGTTTTATAACATCGACAGCTTTTACTTAAACGATTACTACCATAAACCAAACCCTAGCAGTAACTACCACGGCCTCTGAATTAAAGCAGCCGACCGGTAAAGACTTTGGCAGAAGCCTTGGGCAAAAAGTTCCCGTTAGTGGAAATTAGAAACGACGTCACAGGGAAGACAGGCGGAGAAGCTGGCCGCGAACAGAGCAGCAGTAGCCGCGGAGAGGAAAAGACATCCCCGCCGTCTTTCCTCCTTATTAAGAACCGTTACCTCCAAATCCCGGCCTTTATTCTTGAAATTCTTCAGCCGCTGGTTGTCAAGTTTTTCGCTGTCAGCCATGTTAGCAGTTCTGTTTGTCGTGGATATACTTGAACTCGTGGATTGAGCTGCTGAGCTACCTTCTCTTTTTTTTTCTAGTTCCCTGTTCTCAGCCTTGCGTTAGCGGACTATTTTTTACTGCTGTGCCGTGGTGCATGCTGGGATTGCCGGTGGTGGAGGAGGAGAAGGAGGAAGGGTGGGGAAATCCCATCGAATCTCATTGGTTTTACTGCACCGCGCGCCACGTTATTATTATTATTATTATTATTATTATTATTATTATTATTATTATTATTGTTGTTGTTGTTGTTGTTGTTGTTGTAGTTTTGTTGGGTTTAAAGTCAGCCATTTTGCTGATATTTTCAGCCTATAACTCCTTTTTTTCTTGTTTTAATTTTACTATTAAAATTATTAAAAAATAATAGTACATTCCCTCTATTTAAACTAAAATCGGAGTTAGCAAAGAAACTGAATCCGAAACAAATTAAGGAATAATGTACAGTTTATTTTCTTGATGTGCAATTTTTGCATGTCATTGCAAAGCAAAGTCTGTTGTCATAGAAACCATTTGCTGCCAGTCTCCAAATAAAGAAATAAAAAGCATGCCATGAACAAGACATTCAGCCTCTAAACAACAACAAATACAAATAAATAAAAACATAAAAAAACAAAGAAATTGTGCACATGTGAAAAAAATAAATGTATTTTCCATGTGCAAAAAAGTGTATCAGTCACTTTCCTGCAAACTGAACTTTTATACAAATTTGTTGGTCATTTGGTCATTTACTCATGACTTTTCCAGATAAAACCACACTACAGTAGTTTATCTAACCGAGGATGGTTCTAAAACTAAGACTAAAAGTTTTACCTTTGTCATCATGTTCATAATTTGATCCATCACACACTTTAAAGACAGAACCTCCCTGGTGGATGATAAGTCAATCACTCAAGTTTGAGCTTTTTTTAATAACTTGTGTCTGGTTTAAGAGAAGAGACTTGACATGTTGTATCACGGCCTGATCCTATTTTACACTTCTCACTAACTGTTCCTCTAATCTGTCTCAGATATCACCAAGCGGTTGTTTACTGGAGACTCAGAGGGCACTGGGAAGAAAAACATTTTCTTCATCATCATCTGTGGATCACTTCTTTCAAAGCTGTCCAACTGACGCCCTTTGAATTCATTTTCACTTTGAAGTCCTCCTGAGTCTGTTTCAGTGGGGTCTTCATCAGATAGACTATCTTCTTGAAGCCTTCTTTTAGTCCCACACCTGTGATGGCTGAACAGGGCAGGATGAACCAGGCTCTGCCCTCGCACGATCTCCTTAAATCCAATATTAGACAAAGCTCTTCTATGCCCAGAGCTTCTGGCAGGTCCTGCTTATTGGCAAGAACAACCAGAGGAACTCCTCTGAGGCTTTCATATCTCAGAACCTGGAATTAAAAAAGAAAAGTGAAAAAAAGAAAAAGAACAGATAAGTCTGCTAGCAGTGATTTTTTTCCTCAAAATTGTATCTGAACAGTTAAACTAAAACCCACAGTGAAACATTTTTATGTCTATGGAAAAGTCTTCCATCAGACCTGAGGACAGTAGATATTATAATTGACTCAACAATCGATTGACTTTGTCTTAAACCATGGTGAAAATATGCCGAAGAGATATTTATCAAGTCGATATGGAGTACTACCATAATGGTTTATACTATGTATATGGGCCAGAACTACATACAATTGTACACTGACAGTGAAAGTGAACCTTAAGAAAAGGCTTCAGAGGAGCCAAAAGATAGGACATTTGCCAAAATGTAACTAAATATTAGCACATAATAGCAGTGAATTAGCTCCAAAGACCATTTTACAAGCACCAATAGGTGAAATATAGCACAAGTGAAAATGTAACTTTCACAATAGATTATGATTAGCAAAACAAAAATGTGCAAAATTTGTAAAGATAATACAAATGTTTTGTATATTTGATCAAATGGCCCTGGAAATATTCCAAAATTCCATCACATGCAACCCATGTAGTTATTCTTCTTCCCTGCCACACTGAACATCATTATGGGTTTTCATTGAGAAAAATCAGACCAAATCCAGCAAAAGCAGAAGCTCTTTCTCTGAGAGTGATGTTCTACACGTGTTTGATCCATTTACCCGGTGGAGTTCCTTGCGAGCCTCTTCCATTCGATTCTGGTCACAGCTGTCCACCACGAACACCAGTCCAGCTGTATCAGTGTAGTGATGCTTCCAGTGAGGCCTCATCTTCTTCTGCCCCCCCACGTCCCACACAGTCAGGCTGGGGGTGCTCCTGTCCGTCTTCAGTGTCTCCACGTTGAAGCCTACCGTTGGCACCGTCACCACATACTCGTTGAACATCAGTTTGTACAGAAGGGAGGTTTTTCCAGCTCCGTCCAGACCCAGCATCACTACCTGCCTCTGTTTGTGGTTCTTGGATCCATTTACCCCCATATCTGGATACGATTGCCCCCTCTTCTTCCTGCTTGTCTTCCTCAGTGTTCTTGGTGTTTGTCTGTTACTGCGCCTGTTCTCTCATGAACCCTGCTCATAATCAGTATTGCCTTATGTACACACACACAGCCACAGTGACCCCTCCCTCCTCACTGTGCTGATGACATTCCTCCCGTCCCCTGCGTGGCTTTCAGTAAAACTATTTATAACCAAAGTGACGGTGCAAAGCCATGGGCAGACTGCTCTCCAGTTACCACTGCACCCTCAGTGGAGTCACATCACACCTGCCCCAGATCATCACACACACCAGCATACAGGAAGTCCATGCACAGGGAGTTGTGATCCTTTCTGGTGCATGGATGGAGCAGTGATGTCACAGGGAGTCTTTAGATGCCTGAACTACATGTGTTGTAAATACAGGATTATATATGGACTCACAGTCTGTGCAAATACAGAAGGGTTAACTCGAGGCTTCCAGAAACCTCTGGGTGAATTGAGCTGTAAATGTATAAGTTTGTGTTTATGACTATCTTTCTGTAGCCAGGAATCAGCAGAATGATATAAGAAAAGGAATTTTCCCAGCGATTTCACACACAGCAAGAAACCTTTCATATTGGTTTAAAGAAATGTAAACAAACCAGCATTGACTTGCATGCGCACAAAAAATCACCAAACTCACCGAAAATAGACCTGAATTACTGCCCCATCACTGAAGAACTTACCTAAGTCTTTCAGACTTAAGGTAGAAGATTGTCAGTTCAATTCCTAGCCTTGATAACGAGAACCAAGAAGCGGGAACCCTGTGTCCCTGTGTGTGTGTCTCTATGTGTATAGGGTGAAATAATGCTACTGCTACATCCAAACAATAATATGAGTAAACATAGTAACGTTTTGAACATAAGCATTTAAATTAAACTAATTTAAATGTAGTCATTCATGTCCTTATGTCCTATTTATTCCCTGGCTGTAGATTAGCTCATAATCTCAGTCCAGTCTTCTCAGAGATTAATCATCCTAATTAACATAAAATGTATTCTTTCTAATCACCTTAACTAATTTTGGTCAAAATGTTCACTGTGTAATCTTGCACAAGAATTGCTGAAACTGATTGGTTTTTATTTACAGGCAACATCAACCTATAAAGGCATTCATTTTAAAATGCTATAAAATGTTTCACTTCATCAGGCTGCACCTTAATTATAGTCTAATGTATCACATTAGTTTAACCGCCTCCCTCCACATTTAAATGATATAGTAGTAAAATAATAGCTCTGGTGTTAAACGTCTGTTTCCTTCTCTATGTTATTCTTCAAAGTCTTTCAGGAAATGCACTCCAATAAAAACTGCACAGCAGAGAATAATCAGTTATGATTTTAATGTTACTTTGTTGAATGACATTTTAAAATTGTCTGCATCTTCTTCTTTACACTTTATTAAAGTCAACATAAAACAAGTACAAATGCCACATAAACATTCATGATGAAGGAAAAACTCAAAGTAATATCTGGTTTATATCTCTGTGGTTCAACAACCCGGGGCCAGGCACAGTTCTGTATAAACACTGGAGGGACGGACGGGAGCGACACTAGGACAGTATGTACATTCATGTCTTTTTATCAACAATCTTTTTCTACACACACACACACACTCGAGTTAACACACTACAATCAACTGCTTTCTATTAAAAAATGAGGAGTAATTTTGGCATTGGACTCCATAACAGGAAATAAACTCTTAAGAAAATAAGGCAACAATAATGCATTCCATTTAGACTTTTTTTTGAACGTTTGAGTCACAGTTCAAGGAAAAGAAGATTGAGTCCAAATGAACAGGGTGAAGGAAATTTAAACAGTGAGTCATCAGTTGGAGAGTATTTATAGTTTGTGTTGATTTGCAATCAGTGGAAATGTGAAAATAATCAGAAAACAAAAAAAATGACATGTCTTTCAATGGTCCAAAATAATAATTGTCTGTGAGAATCAATAATCTGATATTACAATAAAAAATCCTTGACATTCATAATATACATTTATTCATCCTCATTTATTTATTGACTCAACTTTTACCATTTCATTCTTTTCTGTGTCTGTGTGAAAGGGGCTGGAGGTTTTGAGCAGAGAAGAGCAGCGTACGCCGCGTCTCCCCTAGAGGGCGACAATTAAACTTACTTGAGAGGGAATGAATGGCTCAGTTCTCGAGACAGTCAGAACGGAGATGACGTGTGACGATGAATATTTGAAGTTTGAACATCGACGTTTGTCACTGACTTTATTGACCATAGAACAACATGCGAACCACATTAACGTAGTAATGTCAATGACAATGACAGAACAACAGAAAAGTCTGTCTGAAAAATAAAGACAACAGAGATGTCAAAGGACAGGAGACACAGAGACTGGAAACGGACAAATGGACAAAAGCTGAGTGAAAAGACCTCACATTTTAACACGATGAAATGGAGTTCTATGCTGCTTATACAAATTAAAATCATCATTACCCCCGTGCCCTCCACACACACACACACACACACACACAAAGCTGAATCTCTTCATTTGCATAACAGCACCTCATCTCTCACTTGTTTCTCAAAGTTATGGCAAAGGGGGAAAATGATGATTTTGCAAATGTGCATGAGAAGGTTGACTTTTGTAATCGTCTGTGACAG